TTTATGCACCTACAGGCTGAAGGAGCCTTTCTTCTTTGTTTAATTATGTCAAGGTTAACCCTTTGTCAGATCTAAAAGCCACTGTGATCAGTTAAGGCAGTAGGACATACCACAAATGTCACAGTCGGTAAGAGAGATTCGATTTTCAGGAAGCAAATAGGCACTCCGCACCCATTACGTCTGCCTCCTATCAAATGAAAAAATTATCCAAATCGCAGCGTTTCTTCAAAGTTCAACCACTGAACGAAAAAAAATTCTTTAAGGAGTATATATCTGAGTCTGCAGTAGAGACAAGAGTCATGTTTTTTCAGCTGAAAAAGCTCTTCCTTTCCATGCTGGCCGTGGCGGGCGGAAGGTTGATTCCCTCAACAGCTTCCTCTTCTTGACGACTACGGCAACATCTTCATTTTCTAACTTCCCCTGCTCTCAGTGGACCGACTTCACTCGCTGGAGTACACTGGCCTCCAATAGCTGAAGGCTGAAGAGCAGATCAGTTGTAAGGAATATAGCCATCAACAAAAAAAATCCAAGCATATTGGCAAAGAACGAAGGAAACAGCTTTTTCGAGAATTGTGGTGGTTTGCTGAGGAAACGCAGGATGAAAGACAGTCATTGGCGACCATCTCTGCCATCCGACAGAACACCAGCAAAACATAACGACCACAAGACATTTGCAGGACTAAGCAAGCGTAACGAGAGCACCAAGACCGGGAATCTGTTCCACAGTTTGCCATCATCTATCACGAAAATTCCTCACCAACAAAGTTGCGATGTAGAAAATGAAAGAAGAAATAGGGGAACACTTTCAAAAGCAAATCTTCCTAATCACGGAGATCTAAAGAAGCGAAGCACTGTGATAGGTAGGGAGAGAAATCTCAAAATACTTGACAGCCACGAAATGTTTCATTGTAAAGGGAGGATGAAAACAGGCATTCTTGCGAGTCACGCCGCCAAAAACCTTGTATACTACAGCAACTATGTACCCTTATCGCAGTCAACAACCAAGAAACGTCATGCATTTCTGTCAGCCAGAAAAGCGGCGACCTTCGAGACGTCTGAAATTCAAAAGCAAAGTTACCGGTGCTACTCGGAAACCACATCGAGTGCAACAACAAAAAGCGTTATAAGGGACAGGCCTCATGCTCCTACGCACAGGAGACGGGTGAGGTTCTTAACAGCAGAGGATGGCCCTGAACTTCGTAATAACAACTCCAATCCTAATCTGTCAGAAAACTACACGTGTGAAATGACAATAACCGGTAACACTAAGTCCATAAGTCCACCTAATACAAAAGCTGAGGGAAAAAAAGGCGAACTGGATTTACCATCTGTTTTTGATGCTGCAAAATATATTGTGTCGAGACGTTCCTGTCCGGACACGTTCGTAGCAAACTGGCTGCGTTTCTCAAACGCAGAAACGGATGGTCTTAAGCAACACAATAACAGCGCCGATCCCAAACTCAGCGGAGATAAACTTAAAGACTCGTGTGATATGACCTTAACTGCTGGCTCACAAACATCAAAGGTGGCCAGCCGACTTCATCACAAGGCCACAAGCTCTCATCAGAAAGCTAAAATTGAAAATGAACCGGATAGCAGACGGGATTTATCACCTGTTTCTAATATTACAAACGATGTTGTATCGAGACGCTCCTGTCCGGACTCGTTTGTAGCGAAATTAATTGCTAATTCCACGAACGAAACTTTGCTTGACCCCACTGAAAGTCCAACACTACTGAAAAAGACACAGAGAAGGCCCACGCGGTCGAAGAAGGCCAGCAAGGGTTCAACAATTCAAAATTTGAAAATGGGTAGCATCTGTACACGTATTTTTCACAAATTCTAGAAAAAAACATACGAACAAACAAAAAACAACAACAACAAGGCGAAACAGATGGGACTGTTCTCATCATGATCAGAGATATTTTCTCTTTTTATGATTGGGCTATTTCAATTTAGAGCTAGCGCTAAGATGGACTCTTATAGTATTCTATGTCATTAGAGTCCTTAATGAGTTGTAAATAGATGCTCAAGTTACTGCAACCCTGTAAGCTCGAAGGGAAAAGCGTCGGTCTGCTGTTGACTAGTCCCTAAGCCTCACTACACGTGGTCCGGGCGAAGTGTGAAGTGTGAAAGTGTTTCCCACCCATTGGCCTCGGATACGTTACCAAAGTGAAGCCTGGGTCAAGGGACTAAACAAGATCTGCTGAGCGAGGTTTTTGCGAGTTCAAACCTCCTTTTAGATAATTTTGTAAACGCTTCTTAGCTAAGTAAAGTATTGTTACTAGTAGTAAGTTGAGTATTGCAATTAGTTAAATGTAATGATTGTTCCTGAAAAGCCCCTTTACGGAGGAGACAATGCAGTATGTATGTAATATGTATGTATGTACGTCCGAGCTTTCTGTTGACATATGTAAAGAGGACAAGTGCTGATGTCCTCTCATGCGCGTCATCATAAAACGTTATTACAATGCTTTCGGCCACACTTTTTAAGGTAATATCTAGGGTATTATTTAACAAAGCAATACTTTCTAGATTTCTGAACAATGGCTATCTGCTACTCAGAGGCCACTGTGTCGTAGGGAAACTGGGGAGAGGAAAAAAGAAAGCGCCCGGGGGACAATATGAAGGGGCGAAATCAGAGGAAGCTGCCGCCTTTCCCTCTTCCCCTCATCCACCACACGCTCGCTGTTTTTATCGATTATTGCTATTTTTATTGAAATATCCATCGGGAGCCTCTGCGCAGAAGAGAGGAACAGCAGCATGCGCAATAGGAAAGAGAAATGTGACGCCTCAAAATCAAAATTTGTGGAAATATGGGATTGGTTGGTATAGTCAGAAAGAACAAGATAAAAAATGTCCACTTGCTAGAAATCAGCCCGTTACAGCAAATTGGTGGGAAGATATATAAGCACCTTCATGCTCTGATGAGTGATGACCCCATAAAAATCCTTTTAAAATTGGCTTAGAGAGCAACGCTTTCGATCCAGGCCTATTTCAGGGTTTATAGGCAGTCATCTAATCAGAACATAAAGTTGTTTATATCTCTCCACCAATTTGTATTCTTTAACAGGCTGATTCTTAGCAAGTGAGCATTTTTCACCTTGGTCTTTCAGAATACGCCAACCTATCCTATAATTTCACACATGTAGTTTTTGATGATGTCATCATTTCTCTTCTCTGTGGCACCAATCTGTTGCATTAGAGTGTTTAAGGTTGTTAGTGAAGGATACTGAATTAAAAAAAATGCCAAGAGGATTATCGCAGTTAAGGACGCGACATACGCAGCTGCAAAAAGAAAGCCTGAATCTGCGCGCTGGGATACGAGCCCTGACCGTTCTGATACCAGGGCAGCGCTCTAACCACTTGAGCTAGCAAGCCAACTGGGAGCTGGTCATTAAATTGGTTCGTAATATACCCGGTAAAGATGATGATAAAATGATGAACCGCGGAATAAGCAACTAAATTCAAATAAGATCATCGCAGACGCAACTTATGCAATTGCGAAAAAAAAAGCCTGAAAAATTCAGAATAAAAAAAGTTAAAGACCATGGGTAAACAAATCAGTATCCAGACCTCGCTAATATATCTCAATATGGTAACTACTGTTTTTATGCACCTACAGGCTGAAGGAGCCTTTCTTCCTTTCTACCAATAAACATTGTTGAATCAACTGTTTGTTGTGAGCGCAGGAGAATTAAAGACCTCTACATAACCCAAAATACAAACCTAAACACATCAAGGATGTCAATTTTAAACCCAAATATATTTAGTAAAAATACTAAGGAAGTGGTTTCGCTTGAATAGCTATACAACAGCTTACGGGAAAGTTGTTTTCTCGATGCCAGCTACTAGTCACTATATGATATGGATGAAAACAACATTCAACTGCTGAAATGGAGTCAAACGAAATGCTTTCTTGTGAAAAGGACAACAAAAAAGTTTCGAACAGAGATTTATTAGGCTATATCTACATCAGACACATTACATATTGAATACATCTGATGATATATCCGAGTGTAGTGCTCCTGTGTAACAAAGAGCACTGACGAAGTTCACTGATGATCACACGACAGGCATGTTTATTATAATCAAACAAAGAGGCTTATCTTTGTCTTTAGGCAAATGTTTTTTTTTTATAAAAATAACCTCAAGCTTTTGCTCCTTTAACAAGCGTTTGAAGAGCAAAAGTGATTAGCATTACAGAGAGAGTGTTCATAGTTTTCCTGATACATATTCACAGCCTGACATGTGACCTCAAGGGTCACCTGCAAACAGTGTTCTCTTGCTGAAGCTGTCGCACTAGCAGCAACAGATTCAGATTCAAATTCAGATTTGCTGTTCATGAACTGACTTGTGACTTCCCACCACTGATCACCAAATGATATATATTTTGGTTTGCAAAGAATAATGTTTTAAGAAACACCCCCCTGTGTATTATTACTTGCATCTTTTAAGTTAAACGACCATAAAGGGCGTGTTAAATAAAGAGATCGACGTCTCATTAGTCACTTCTGGCACCATCGTCATAAATACGCCCCTTTTAGCATTTAATAACTGGTAGAAAGTTTACCATTAATATTCAAGAAAAACGAAGAGTCATGCTATTCTTAGTAACAATGTAAAACAGCACCTAGACCAAAATAAACACTAAATTGCAGTACGGGACAACCTTATCGTCATGACCCCTTTGAAACAACGTTTTAGCAACAGTGAACATCTTCATAAATTTACCCATTACCTACCGGTTAATAACTAACCGAAGTTTTCTTTTTTCTAAAACTGATGAAAACAAAGAGGGCAAGCTTAGTTTAGTACCTCTTGAAATGGACAGGGGATGAATTTGAAAAAAGTGTATACTGAGTATAAAAGAGCACCTATGCCAAAATGAAAACTAACTTGCACCTCGGGAAAGCACTATTCTCAAAATTTCTTTCAAACAATTTCCACAGATTGCAATTTTCCTGACTGGAGGTGATTCGTTTGAGAAACTAGATATTTCACATCGCATCGAAATGGAACTTGTGAGCATCTCGCTGTTTTTCTTTTTGATCTTCTCTCTGCAACGTAACGTAAAACGCACATTTCAGGCTAAGTAAACGACCAAGAATTGATATAATTTGTGAATGAGAAGAGTTTATATCGCTTGGAAGAGGCTTTAAGTGGCCAGTTATTGAAACAACAGAAAAGCGAAGCCTGTAGCTTGCAGCTCGAGAAAATACGCTCGAATATCTTTCGCCTGTAGCTTCCGAAGAAGCTTTTGATCCTGACTATAAGTGGGACAAAACTATGACCACCTCTCAAAGTAACTTCTTACAGGTGTCGACTGTCCTTTTTCAAACTAAGAAACAAGGCAATGATGGCTTAAGAGTCGTGTCTGGTAAATGTTTTGCCCAAATTCATCTCTATTTGCTCTCCATTCCCTTTGAAAATTCGCACTGTACAAAGGCAGTCATTTCTTGGTTGAGATAACTGAAAGGTTGCGCAAAATGCTCATTCTTTATTGCTCTTATAGCTTCACGACAATGAACTGCGAAACTGCGGATAAAAATATCCAATTACTGCTAAAATTTGGCCAAACAAACACGAGATGTATAAGAACCACTACCCATTCTACTCAGTAGGAAGCAGCCCCAAGCGTTGCTGGAAATAGGAGACTCATAAAAGGGGTTTACTTTTTTTGTCTCTTTTGTTTTGTTCTATTTCTGTTTATTTGTTTGTTTCAACAAAGACTGCCAGTTCTTTACAGAACAATTTATGATAAACCAGACTTAAACTGCATCCATATATTCAGTTAATACATGCTAATTGTTCAATGAAAGACCATCGAAAACTTGATCCACCATCAAGTTTTGTAAGCGTATTTATTAACACATACAGTGCTTCTTTCCAACTGATGTTTTAACAGAAGTTTTACTTCTTAACCCACAGAGATGCTATAACATTTTCAAATGCTGTTAAATCAGTGCCTCTTCGTTATTTCGGAAGCTCAACAGTGGGCAACACAACACATCAAACAATGGTTTAATGTTGCCACATAAGTAGTGCTGGCCTTTAAATAACCCTTCTACTCCAGTGGTCATTTATGGACGCATGAAGTGTGGATCTGACGTTAAAATCTGTGGACGAAAACCAATTGTGTGGCAATTCAAGTGAAACCCTTTCTGCAGTACTTCCACTTGGTGTTATTTACTGCGCTGTATATGCTGGTCCTAACTTTTGAGTCTGGCTGAAATCCTGTGGTGTGACCATTCAAATGAAATCTCGCCAGCAGTACTTTGGAAGATGCTATTTGTTTTTCCATGTTTCACGACATGAAGTTTTCGATTTTTGGCAACTCTTGGGAGTTGAAGGGTTAAAACAAAAGAAACAATGATCAACTCACCTTTTCTTTGAGATGCAACAGCAAAATGATAATACCAATAACAACACAGATTCCTAGAAGACTTAATCCTGTCAGAAGTACAAGTTTACTTGGTGTCACCAACAGTTTCATCGTCCAGCTGAAACCGAAATGAAACACAAAGGAACCGTATTGAACTATTTTTCGATGATAAGGTTTGAACGAATGACGAAAGTGTATTGTACTGAGATAAAGTACTTTATAGCAGAGCTCTCGCGCGCGAGGCGCGCGCAACGGAGCACCATGGGTTATAAAATTTGGTTATCTGTGCATCCGAGAAAAAAATTGGTAGTTAAGTGACCGTACACCCGCCCACAACTTTGTAGAAACTAAGGAAACAGTTCTGAGCCCAATTCCATCATTATTAAAAATTTCAACTAGCTCACCTTGACGGGTCATCTGGGGGATAAGGAATCACGATCACCTGTGAATTCGGTATAATCGACTCCCACGTTTGGTTTCTTTTGGGCTGAAAAAAAAAGACACACAGAGATCGAGGTTAAAAAATATTTAGAGAAAAGATGATGTTTTACATGTTCTCTAATGCATAAATACAGCTTTCGAAGGAAATATAAATAGAATAAAACGCAGTTCAACAGATCACCGTTGTTAAAACACCCACACAGTCTTGGTCTTGTACGCTGGTGGACGGCTGATTTCAAGCAAGTCTCCGATACAGTCCTCTGTGACTGGTGTAGTTATAATTGTATTTCGACCAAGCTCGTCATAGAGCCTTCAGTAGCTCAGTGGAGAGCATCCGAACTGGGACTCGGAGGCTAGTGAGTTCGATTCTGGAAATTTTTTCTGCGCTCTCTGGTGTTAGATGACTCCTTCTTCCAAATTTACGAATTATTAGTATGAGTAATCAAACGGTTAATATGACTGCGTTAAAGGAGCCAGTGACGCGTCCTTATTCGCTGTGAGACTTCAGAAATAACTTGTGAATGACAAAATTAGCATATGTCTCCAAGAACATTATATCAAACGTTACAGACAACAAAAATGAAAAATAATACGCAAAAAGCTCAATTGCAACCAGTTTCAATCTTCTTCAAGTTTGACCATCCGTTCCTCCTTTTGTACCTGCTGTGTTATTTAAACCTTCTTTTGACGTTTTGAACGGCCATTTTTATGTTTCACTCAGTTGGGTGGCAGTTTCCACTGTTTGAATTTTGACAACTTACAGAACGCAGCTTCTTTAATATCTATTGCATCGGTTTAGTGACTGCTACCAGAGCTTATGATTGACTACAGATCCGCGTTCGTCCCTTGCGGAAACGTAATCGAGTCGAAGGGAGTTCAGTTCCCCGGCCGAGATGTCCCTGATAAAATCAGTAGGGGCGGCTAATCGGCAGTCGCCCATGATACCTCGAACATTTTTGGCTTTGTACCACAGGAACAAGATTAGGATGCGTTCTGACGAACGCGATCAGCGAAGACGCGGTGCAGGTGTTTGCCAATTCTTACCCTTTTTATTGATCCAGGCATACCAACCGCTAGGTCGTCTACAAAGTTAGGCGTTCTTCCTAATCCAAACACAGTGTAAGGACATTGAAGGGCAAAGTAGGCTGATTGGGATAACTGTGCGGCTGTAGATAAAATCACGGAACATATCAAACACGAAAAGAATTGATTAATATGCAGGCAAACTCCTCAAGATAGCCATATCAAATGTCCTTAGGAATATGAACAAACATTGTGTAGTTCCAAAAAATAAACATACCCCCCACCCCCCACGCAGGGCACTTTTGATTTAGACCCCCACTTCCCCGGAATGGTGCTTGCCATACCCACCAACGACTGGATTTCCCGTAATTTCTCTACTCGGTTGGGTACCCCCTGGAAAGAATGTTTCCCTCAAAAATGCCGTTGCACTGTACTTTTATGCAAAAGATAATTGTTTCTACGAAAAGCGAAAACATCTTTTTATTTATGTTAATACAGCGTCAAATAATCTCAGTTTTGCCTTGTTTAGGTCTTTCTTAGTATCAAACTTTATTGATTAACGGAATTAGATAAAGACAATGCCTGTTAAGCAAAAATCAGGTTAAAAGACAACGTTTTCTTTGCCTGGAACTGATTTGTTCTTTTTGCGAGCAACAAGTACAATGCAGTTTAAAACTTGTCACTTGCTTGTCATAAATCAGTAAATTTAATTTTAACCGAACAACCTGGGAAAAAAAGTGAAACATGGGAAAGATATACTTACTTGCACTCTAGTTCAGAATGCACATTATGTACATTTTACAATTACTCGGTAACATTCGAATGCTTCTCGACGAAATCTAGAATGCTCAATTGCTTTTGTGTTTTGAGCCTTAAGTTAACAAGAATATCAGACACTTTCGTGACTGCAGAGGACAACTCTTCGCAACTCCGATAATCGGCGAACTCATCTTTTCTTGGAAGTACACTCTGTATTGTTAGTACAGTGTGATATTAAAAACTGAACATTGTGACATTCCGGATCTTCCAGGAGGGGGTTGGTCGCTTACCAGTAACAGAAAACAAATAATATGTCAAATTTCTGGCCTTAAAAGTGGTCGCAGTCGCTTAAGAAATAAGAGAAGTGGTCTCTTACGAAGGAGTTTTTGAAACAGTGTTTGAGTGAAGAACAAAATGGTTATTTACAAAGTGGTCGCTATGAGAGAGTTGACTGTAATATATTTACTTTGATTTGAAATAATAATACATTTTCCCTTTGGTGATCATTCAATTAGTTTTCTAAACGTTTTTCTTGATTATGTTTCAATGTTGTGAGGAGAAAGTTGCTGAACATTTTTCAGCGATCCTAGCGATCGGAGTGCGGATTACATGGAAAGCCTACAATGAAGCTTCCAAATGAGTATCAACTTACCACTGCCATACTTTATGTCCCCATTGGTGCTTGTGGTAGTATACTTAATGAACGGTCCAACTTGATTGACACCGTATGGCTATAACAAAACAGTCATAATAAATAGTTGTTTAAGTATTGTAAATTAGTTGTTAAGTATTGTATTTCAGTTGTATAAAGTTCTCTGACTCTCTTTTTCTTTATTTTGATTTAATAGTATCGTAATTATTATAATTAAAGCCACGTTTTATTCATGTAAATTCTTCACGTTTTTTTTTTCGCTGACCTTAGGCCATTTAAGCCCCCGGCTTCAGTTATTCTCATTACATGTATTTTTCCGAGTGTGTGATATGTAATAAACTTAAAAGTTAAAGCTACTCTTAATTTACTCTGATAAGAGATCTAAAAATGGTAATAAATCTGACAAAAATAATGACGACGATTATAGCAACTACTACTAGAACTACTACTACTACTACGACGACGACGACGACAACTTCAAAAAACAATAGGTTTAATGATCAAAACAACAGCTCTGCACGTGCATCACGATTCTTACTACATTTCTTTGACGTCTACTGCACGACTACGACGTGAAACCTCCTAATTTGACGTTTTATGGAGGATGTGGACATACGACGACGAATTTTCCTTCCTCTTTTTGAACTTACATAAAATCCCTTAATTCAATTCAGACTACGTTCCCAGTGACAATCCCAGAAACCATTGCGGGAAATATTTCGGCTCCAGTTTCCGTCCGGTTTCTAAAGTGGCGAATTTCTTAAGGGCACCGTAAAAAATGAAGCACCTTACCAAGTTATCATTCGCGCAAGTTGTTAAAGTCCTGCCTCCAAGAACTGAAATAAAACAAAGTAGAGAAAGAAGCTCTCACGACAATCACTAAGGGTGGCTACAATATTGCTGTAACACTTAAAAAAAAAAAAAAAGACAGAAAAGTCATCTTACCATAGACTTTTAGGAAAGACGCATCGTAATAAAATGCATTTTCCAGTGCGTGAATCTGATACTGCGCAGTTGATGAGGATTCAGTTACCATAAGAATATCGATCTGTCCCTGCAAACGGAAAAAGGTGACAATGCAACAGTAAGACTGTAGTATAATAAACGAATGTAAAACATTTATCATGGGATAAGGAACCACCTTTGGGATGTGTCAACACGAGCCGTGAGCGACCCTCTTAATTATGTCTTTACAAAAAAAATCCATGATAATAGAGTCTCGTTTAATTGTTGTATTCCATTTGTCATCAGTCTAACGTCACTACGCAGTACCTTGAGAGTTTAATTATGTGAGTACTAGCAAGTCGTTGACCAGGTTATGTACTGCTCACTAGTCGTGGAATACAAACGATGACATTCAATCCTATATAAGAAAACGTCACACGTTACGCTTTGTGTGTCTTGTAACGTCAGTATTTCAGGTACACTCGATGTATGATTCCTATTGTATACTCCTTGCTTTTGCAAACGAGTTTATTATCATACTACGTGAATTTGTACCACGTGACCAAGATTTCCCTTAACTCGGCTGTACTGTTCATTATTTTTACCCCAAAATTAGTAGCGTCATGTTAGTTTTGTTCATAACATTTGTTTTGGACTTTTTTTTGCTGCACGTTTTCTGTTTTGGGAATTTCTCAACTTTGCCGTTTGCGGTAAACGTCGCTGTAAATCTCTCTAATAAGTTTGCAAACACGCAGCAAGTCTGGAAATTTAAATTACAACAAGAAAACAATTAAATTTCAAAATACAACAAGAAAACAACTTATAAAACTAGAGACAACAGGCCAATCTGAACCATACCCATATAACAATGATACAACAGGGGTGCTAAATGGCTAGCAAAATATCTATGTGAACAACTGATAGCCCTTAGTCATTGGGTATTTAATTTTGAGGGCGTACGGACGGTCGAATGACGCTAATGAAAGCACTGCAATACGTATACACACTAACCCTCCGCGGGTTTGCATTATTCTGCACAACAGTTTGTCAGGTGAGCGAGTCATGTTTCTGCGGCCTGGTTACCAAGAATGAACTTCACCGACTTATAATGCTCTTTTTTGAGGAGTTGCTGTACTGGTAAATAAACACGACAAAAATTCCGTGACTTCATTTTCTCGAGTCATATAGTCCATCATGGCAAATTTCTCGTACCCTGCTCAAACAATGTTCAGTTTCTCTCCCACTTCGATCACCAAAAGTCTGTCTCGGGCGATATTTAGTCTGTGTAAAGACACTTGGTGCTAATCCCAATGAGAATAGTGTCTTAACTTTTCCACCTAGTCTAGTGGTAACTATTACTTACATCCTCATACAAGTCATAAAACGTGGCTAATACAGCATCCTCTAAATTCGATAAATCCTAAAGAATAAAGAGAAAAAAGAAAAGAGGGTCGTCTCTCTCTCCAAAGGCACTGACTCAATGCTTGGGGTGACAAAATACAGTGATGGTATAAAACTATCTGTCGGCCTGACGTACACACGCCATAATCTACCGAACTGATCGCTCTACCTAAAGGAAGACACCAAGACCAAAATCGGCTTAAATCGGGCAGTTAATTTTTTTGTTCTGCCATGGTTTCTTGGCAGATCGGTCCGAAATCAGACCGACAAATGATAGCGTGAAATACCGGCCTTAAGAGTACGCGTACACATTGGTAAACATTTGGGGAAATAGAGCAAGAATGAATGCAAGGCTAGCAATGCGGCAAAGGGCTGTTTAAATGAGGCCAATATTTCGGCTAAAAAAATTAGCCTTTTTTAGGACCCCCAAAAAAGACAGAAGGGCTCTTCCGCCTGGAATCGAACCCAGGCCCTACTAGGCGCCGGGTCACATCGCTACCACTACACCACGTGGGAACATAAAAAATAAGGAAAAGGGGCTCTTCCGCCAGGAATCGAACCCAGGACCTCCTGTGCGCCGGGCCACATCGCTCTGGCATTGGCATCTCTACATTAGAGATCCGGCAAGAAAGAACCAGTCGGTTTTATTCAGTAAGCGTTGAGTGGACCTCTGCATTCAAAGGTTTTCATCTGGAAAAAAGGCTGCACTAGCACTGCCGTGTTACGCCTAATACCAGGGTCCTTAAGATCTGGCGACGGCAACGAGAACGATAAAAACGCAATAGGTTTAGGCTACGTTTACATAGCATCGGACGAATCCTCGACCGGTTGAAAATTCGCGCGTTAAGGTGTTCCGTTCACACGGACCCACCTTAACCGTACGAACATTTAGACGCTTAGACGTTCAAAGTTCCGTGTGAACAGAGCAAAAATAATGAACGGTTCCGTGTGAACCAAGTGTCCGGTCAAATTCTTTAAGCCGGTCGAAAATCCGTCTAGTGCCGTGTGATCGTAGTCTTAAGGTGATATTACACGGGACGATTCGCAAAGACGATTTTTTGCTCAACACGGCGTTGCAATGTTGGAGCAATGTTGTAACTGTTCGAAACAATGTTGCAATGCTGTGTTGCCCTAAAAATCGTCGTTGCGAAACGTCTCGTGTATCATCACCTTTAATAAGCAAAACAACACTCTGCGCGGGCAACATACTTTTCTGTACTGTTACTACATTGCTTTTCCGTCACTGCACGACTACGACGTGAAAATGCCTAACTTCACGTTTTATGGAGTTCGTAAACAAGCAAATACGAAATTTTCTTTCTCTTTCTGAACTTCGATATTGTTCCTAATAATTCAACTCCCGGAGAGTTCGCCTACATTTGATAATGTAAGTGAGTTAAAATAATCGTAATGGTCGTAGTACAGATTGTATGAACGCGAATTCATTTTTTAATCGACGTTTTCGCCGCCGCCGTCCTCGGATCTTAAGGTCCAGCAACCATAACAGATATATTACCTTCCAGTGCACTTCAAAGGCTCGTTTATCTTTCAGGCAGTAATCATGCTCAGCGCTTGAACATGCAACATTTTCCAGCAATACTGCAACTTTTCGGTAACTTTGGCCCCTAAAAAAGAACATTCCATAACATCACCAACTGTTTCCATGTAACCCTTGGTCACAGTGTTCCTTTTAACCAATTTAAGCTTAGGCCGTATTCTGCGATCCAAAGTTTGATCTTCCGTTCAATAGACCCTTTCACGGTTTTTCTTCTTTTGACTGGGACCAATTAGAGAAAATCCATTAAACCGACTGGAAAGTAACGCCATAGAATTAGCTAAGATGCTAATTTTGAACATGACTTATTGAAAACTAACAAACATAGAGGTCCTCAAAGTCACCAAATTTTGTACACGCTGCTACCCCCGCCCCCCCCCCCCCCCCCACCTCCACACACCCACCCCACCAGACCCCACACCACACAACCAACGCAAAGCCCGCCCATCGGTGAAGGACGAAGTGCCACAATATGTAAAATAAGAATAACAATCACATAGTGTATATCAATATTAATGCTNTGTCGTAGTCACCTTAAGAATGTATAAAGTAAAATTATTGTATAAGTTAATTAACAAACACCTACCCTCAAGCCCATTCCACGCGTCAAGATAAGCCAAAGGACGGCTGCATAAAGAGTAGCGTCCTTAGGTGACTAGACTAGATCTGGCGTTGAAATAGCCAGTGATTCGGTGCCGTTTAGAGTTTCCTTCGTGCAGCCTTTCGCGCCAAAAGGTTCGTATTTTTGCAGCCAATTTTTTCCACTCCCTGTTTTTTCTGTCTCCCTACTGATATTCTTCGGTGTGAAGGGTGCCTGAAATGACCCGAGCCGTCCCCGCAAAAATCGACCCCATTGAAGGGGAAATATAACATGCAAAGCCTTCTGGGAGTTCCGTTCGCCATTTTGTCTTTTTTCGACATAGACGGAAGGCATTTCTTGATTGGGCCTTGCCCTCACGGGCAGCTCAATAACAAAATCATTAACTGTGACGAGTAAGAAGAAAGCAGAATGTGAAAAAGAGCGGCTTGCCTTAAGAACAAGCTAGAATTCAAGTGTTTTTTTAGCCCTCTCCACTCACCCAGCCCCCACCTAGCGATGAATTTGTTAACTCTACTTTTAATACTGTAGAGCGGCAAGTTACCTGTCCTTATGGTCATCAGAGGGAACATGGAGGAAGTCTGGTTTGCTGGCGGGATGAACTGCCAAGTGTTAGGTCGCCTTTCATTGGACATCATTTTCCACCACTGCAAGCAAAACACTAACTCGTTCCCAGTCGTCTCGCGGAGGACGGAACGCGAGAAGCGTGACCAAAGGGAGCGCGAGGAGCGACGGGAAGGAAGAAAATTCCTCTTTCTTATCACTCCCAGCGCTCCCCTTGACCTTGTTAATATTAACAGGGACTTTAAGATCCAATGACGCCACCGCAACGAGAACGTCAAAAAAACAATAGATTTCAAAAGCAAAACAACAACTTTGCACGAGCATCACACTTTTTTCCTACATTTGTTTTCCCGTTTTAGCACGACTACGACATGAAAATGCCTAATTTCGCGTTTTATGGAGAACGTAAACAAGCAACGACGAAATGCTTTTTCTCTTTCTGAACTTGGATATGGTCCCTAGGAATTCAGAGTTCGCCTACATTTGACAAAGTAAGTGGGTAGGAATAATTGCGATAAAGCCTGAAAGAACGCAAATTCATTTTAAAAAGAGGAACCACAATATAACGAAGGGCCAAGGACCTAGCAAAATTTGTTCGCTATAACGAGGTTTTGCTATATCGAGGTTATTTTTCATATATTTTACAATTACTGGGGTAAAGAAAATCGTTCGTTATATCGAGGACTTCGTTATAAAGAGGTTCGTTAAATCGAGGTTCCAGGGACAGAGAAACCAATGGACGAGTCAGAGCAAAACATATAACTGACCTCAAAATATTAATGATGACATTACATAACCCTTAAGATCGCATTTATGTGTAGCCAACATTGCACAGGACAGAAAAAACTATTGTGAAGTAACATGTACCATGGCTTGACTATTATTAGTCAAAATGCTGAGTAGAATTTAATATCCAACCGAGAAAGTAAAATGAAGACTCTTACTGCCCTGTTTAAAAGTTGCATTTTACATGTGCTGAATGTACTGTAAATGAGCGAAAACAAAAGCATTCATAAGCATTCCGTTCGGCACACGCGAAATGCGACGTTTAAACCGGGCCTTAGGCTAAATTCAATTCACCATTAACGTGTACACCGTGATTCCAATTAAGTTTGACGTGTTAATCAACCGTCGAACTTCACCATTTGCGTCTACTCAAATAGATTTTAAGTTCAGTACATGAAAAGTTCGGGGTTTCAAGTAGGCCATGAAGCCAATAGTCATTGGACAACGTTTTTGTGATCTCCTTATCAGGATCAAGAGCCTAACTACCTACCCGGCCACTGGAGTATACATATACAGAACTTTCCGAGCAATCGTCACTTGTACAGACTGGTAAAAACATATCAAGACGTCCATCTCCATCTGAAAATTGCAATTACAAAAAGAAAACGTAAAACCAAGGAGAGCTTCCCACTTTTAGAGGGAAAATGTGGTAATTCCAAGGCCAAATCAAATGGCACGGTTCACACCGGTGGACTGGAGTGTTTCCGGAAAAGAGGTTATACCTTCTGAGCAGAGGTATTACCTTTTTCAAGCTTTTATCGAAACAACCAAAATTTGACGAACCATTTGTTTGGATTACCAGTGCTAGGCTTCCTCTCGAGGGAAAGCGAAAAATTCAGAAGTATCTTGTAAATGGTACAACTTAATCCCATTCCTGTTTTCGGTTCGAAAGTAGATACCAGTACCATTTGACGAACATTTTTCGCTGAAACTTTCGTAAAAAAATAGTAAGCGCTCAAGTCTAGGGCACTTAAGTTATACCACGTGACCGAGTTTTCAATTTACCTGTGGTTTATTACAGTTCATTATATCTGCACGAAAATAAGTAGTTTTATGTCAGTTTCATCCATAAGAATTATTTTGCACTCTTCTTAGGAACTCATTTCTTCGTTTTTTTTTTTAAATACCTTTCACCCAGGTAAGATGAATTTGGCTGGTCATCGTGTCCGTAGACTTGCCCGAAATTATTTCTAGCCCTGGTTTCACCGGACAATTATTTGACGAGCACTAACTGGGAAAATTACTTCAAGCCCTGGGAAGAGAGTAAAACTTACCAATGTCAGCAAAAGTTGACTGCCCAAAAATCTTAATTTCTTTGTTTGTTATAGGAGGAAGGGAAATCGTTTGTCCAAAAGTAAGGATACCCGCCTGTAAATGAAAGAATACAATTAAGGACCGATGAGTTTAATAATATGAAAAGTGAACAATGTATTCTAATGACCTGCAAGAAATGGAAAAAGGTTTTAATACCAATGAAATAGTGCTGCACAGGGATCACAGATATCACTGAGCATTTCAGTAAGCTTCCGTGTTGATTTAAGCGGCTATTCTTCTAGTTTTCCCCTGGACATTTGATTTAACACGCTATTCCACAACCCCGCACTGAATTTACCTGAAGGAATTACCCTGTTTTAATAAATAAAGTTTCCTGACCCTCAACCTTACCATTACCCTTAAACTTGGAATCTATTCTTTATAACAAAAAAAGGCAATTGAACTATTAAAATATACTTACCTCATTAACCCAGATTTCACCCTTATTCTGCTGATTGGAAACATAAAGATCTGCAAGAAAGATCGAGTTTACAAATTTACACAAATCAGTTCCATTCACCGAAAACCGGCCGAGAAGGCCTGAAACTATTATATGTATACCGGATATCTTTTGGTACCAACAGGTTTATAGACTTGCTAACAGGCTCATAGACTGCAAGCGACTGAAGTCCGGAAACGGGTTTTGCGCAGAAAATCGACATCACCGTTTGTATCAGTGTGAACAGAAGCCCTATCCGGTATGGTTATTGTGCCAGTGCAAAAGCCAACCGATATAGTGTCAACATAGCCTTAAACGCCTAACTTCTAAATATTTTTCGAACCACATACCCGAATGAGCACGATTTAACAGGCCAGAGCAAAACGCAAACCACCAAAAATTCCCGGGGGGGGGGGGGGGAATTATTTTTTCCCTTTATTTTTATTTTTCCCTACGAGCAAGCACATTTCCACCTCCACCACCATTGACCACAACCACAAACTACCACACAGCAACACCCAAAATTAAATTGCGAACCCACCAACCTAATATGCACGGGTTAACAGGGAATAGCAAAACGCAAACCGCCAAAAATTCCGGGGGGGGGGGGTAATTTACTTTACTATTAATTTTCGTTCGACCTTAGGAGAAAGCAACTCCTAATCTCCACCTACATGTACACACAAGCCAAATACACAGAGTTAAACCCCAAAATTTAATCCCGGTAGAATGAAACTCCTCATCTTAAAAATCTTTGCCCTGAATACAGTAAACTGTAGGGAAAGGGACCCTTATGAACATCATTAAAACTAAACAAACCTGCCGTATAATCTCCCGTCAGATCCAAGAAAGCATTTGAGTGTGGCACTCTTATTGGATTCAACTTGCCACTAGAATTACTCTGTGGTTGTACATCAAAGCTTCTATTTGACCTAAAAGTCAGTTAAAATAATAAAAAAATAAAATGATATTTGTAAAAGGGCTCCAGGAAATACAAATTGTTCTGACAAAATACAATAACATGGTTATATTGAAAGTAAGCAAGTCAAGTTCAGTGTTTTCTTACATTATTTTGTTGTTTGTTTCTGGGCTCCCTATTTTCAAGGGATCGTTACTTTCATGGAGCTTATACTTTCAGGAAGCAAAAAATGTTTTATACAAAGTGTAGCCTGCATAGCTGGCAGGGTCAGTAGGTGAGTGCTGTTGTTTTTCAGGGGCGGAGCCCCAAGAGATTGGGAGCAAATCAAAATAATATTGATTCTCTCTCGCAGCTCTACCTCCAAGAAAGTACCCACGCATAACAATCCTGCCAGCTATGCAGGCTAAAAGTAGTGCAACTGAGCTCTTCTTTGGAAATAAAAGACATAAATTTGTAAAAAAAAAAAGTGATCAGGTACAGTCGAATCCCGGTAACTCGAACCCTCTATAACTCAAACCTCCTGCTAACTCGAAGCAATTTACATTTCCCTTTAGATCGTTTTCTATATAATTTTACCCTCGGTAGCTCGAACTCCCGACAACTTGAACTTTTTCCTATTTCCCTTGAAGGTTCAAATTATCGGGAGTCAACTGTACATGTAAGCTACCTTTGAAGTAGGGAGGGCACCACTTTTCTAGGCAATCTCATTATTTTTATACTACTTTGAGGAGTCAATACCTTCTGAATTTCATGTTTTTTACCCTTACATAAAAGCCGTTTTTCTGACTTACTTTTCATCTTAATACACACTGTTACTAACAAGAGTATTAAAAGACATAATACATAGCACAAAATCGTCCACAGATTTTTTGAGCAAGAGTTTTGTCATGAGAGAATCATTTCAGCAGATAAAAGGCAGACTCAAAGATCTTCATTACAAAGTTCAATTCACAGTTGAAACAGTTTTTCATAACACTGGTCATAACTAGAGCTAAACTCTTATGAGACAGAGTGGTCGCAAGGACAGAGCCGACTGTATCACTCCTAAAAGCTTGTTTCCCTTACCCTTTAGAAATCCAATAAGACCGGACATTTCCATCAACTGATTCACCAAGAAGATCAGGCAAAAGATCCCCATTAGCACTGAAAGTTAATGACATTAAAACAAAGGTTAGAAAACTTAATTTCTGTGGTGATATTCTACCATAATTATGACAAGTTAGAGCAGGCGGATAATACAGGGCAGTAAATTTAGTGATTTGTGGCAAAAAAAAAAAATATGTGCAGGAGGTTATTTTGTTCCCAATTAAAGGGTCTGTGTCATGCCTGTTAACAAAGAAATTACAAGTACTTGTAAATTAAATGACACAATTACAGCTTAGTGTCACATAAAACAAGTACATCTCCATTATATCGAATGTTACAAATGAACAAGTTTTCAATTAATCCACAATTGCAATCCATAACAGTCTTCTTAAAGGTTTTCCATCAGTGCCTTCTTTTGTATTTGCTATGTTATTTATTACAGGTTATTTTTGCAAATGAAATGTCCCTTTTTTTTCGAGAGTCTTCACTAAAACCCCATCACTGCCATGCACACCATTTTTCTTAATGGATTGATACTGATATACAGTGAAATGCTCCTTACAACTGGACTGGTCTTGCCTGTCAGTTCTGACCAATGGTAAGCACCCTTAGTCACATAAAGCTCTGAGTTACTATTTACTCCTCATACATTTGCTTACTTACTCCATGACTAAGGGTTGGTCCCTCATAGTAAAGTTGACGCTATCACCTATAAGAATACAATACCCAGCACAGAAATTAGTGTTTTCGTTGTATTATTAATGAACAACTGATTAGCAATACAGTGGAACCCTGCTCTACGAACACCCACTAAATAATTATGGACACCCATTTATCATAGACAGTTTGGTTATCATTTTCGGGCCGACAAAAAGCCCAGCACCCGGTTCCTTGAAAGATGGTTAAGTTTAAACCCACTAGGGTTAAGCCAAATTTTAAGAAAGGTTTTCTTGTCTAAGTATATATCACTTGAGCTCAGAAAATATGGTCGAGTCTTTACTATGAGATTCAGTGATGATAACATACTGTGGAATGTTACTCTAAGCAATGCAAAGGAAGGTAAAAAAACAATGGAACAAAATTTTTAATCCTGGATAAGCGCTAATCAGTCTTTCAGGAACCAAGGCCAGTTTTTTTTCTCTAAATTAACCTGCTTAAAATGGACATTGGTTAATAGGGACAACGGACACTTTTCTGTGACTTAAGTCACAAAAACCCTCATACTATCAACCTCACTTAACAGACACTGTTTCTCTGTGCAGTGTCTATTTTCCTTGTCACAATCATGTGCTAATTGAACACATTGTACCCTTTTCAAATGATGACACATTTTTATGGTTGATATGATTTTATTGCCTAAAAACAGTAGCAATAGAGTGTGGCATGTTGTTCCCCCATGCTTGGCCTCGTCAGGAGCTGGCCAGTTCTACAGCAGCCCTTCAATAGAGTTTTCTGCTCCTACTACACAAAGTTTCATTTATTTTCCTTGTCTTTTTGCTGCAGTCAATGTTCCAGTCAATAGGAACAATAACTGCTGCAAAAAACAAGGAATCCTTCCACTTTCGACTTTGTTTGTTTTAGTCTAAAAATCCATAAAAAGTGTCTGAAAAGGTTTCAGAAACATTTCAAAAAGTACTGATAAGGCTTCTTATAGCACTTTCAGTAAAAGTCATTTGCATGTATGATTTGTCACTCTTATGTAATACAGTCATGCAACAATAACCCAACAAGTCAAACGACCAAATCTCATCATGCAATTAAACAAACCTAACTTCTGTAGGTTTCCCCAATAAACAAAGACTGTGGCTGTCTCCTGGGAGCCAGTATTTTGTAACTGAGTTGTAATTAAAACATCAAGGCATCCATCGCCATCAAAATCTGTAGGGCTGACATTTACAATCTGCTCACTAAAAAGTAATAAAAAGAAACATTAACAAATTTATATAGTTTTGGCAGAAGTTTGGACAATTGTCTTATCAGGGCTTTGGGTTTCTGTTTGCAAAATGGTTCATTTTTTGGACTGTATTGATCTCACATTGCATCCAATCACAGAACCTTTGCAGCAGTCTCATAATATTATTAATAAAAACTACATAATTATTTTGTTCCTTACACATAAGTACTTAAAATGAGAGTTCCTCTTCAAAAAACAATGAGCAATTTGATACCTCAGCAAAACTTCTGCATTTCCTTTCTTGAACTTTTGATCAGAATTATCCCAGAACAAAATTTCAAGCTGTTTCCCTGAAAGAGATGGAAAGAAAAAAAACATTTGGTGGTTGATCGTGATACAGTACCTGCAGCAATATAATATGCAAATGTTGTTAAAGTAAAATTGTGAACTACAAATCAGCCACAAAAATATAAAGTATTCAGCAATGAAAATTCAACAAAGCTATTTTTCTAGGGCTGACAATCCTTTGTGAGGAAAAGGAAAAGAAAACGCTTAAGGGAAGTTTGTCTCCTCATGCATGGAAATAAGGCCCTAAAGCCTGCTTTTTCAATACCAACACAACAACAGTTTTGTTTCGGTGAAAATGTGTAGTACAATCTGAACCATTTCTTTTTAATTTTTAGTGGATAACTTGGCCACCAGAGGAGCAAATTCTCAGTTAAATTTCCAACCACACTATCAGGCACTCAGTAAAAGCCTGTAGTTAAATGAAGGAATTGGCCACTGAAAAATTGTTGAGGTGCTTTATAGTCTTTATAATAATATTAAAAGGTACAAGTTGTTTGTTTTCTACTAACAGCTTGAAAAGGAGTAGCACATTTTTTCAAGGGGAAGGCAGGGCTCCAAAAACAGCCCGTCAAGTAACTTTTAAAGTTTCCTCTTCAGTGGGGAAGGGTCTAGGCAAATCATTCATGAAAAGAATCATTAACTAAGACAAGTAAGAAGTGGCCCCAGGCAAGCAAAATGTAAAAGCTGCTTGCTCAAAGGACAAGATGGAATTCAGGGTTGTTAGCCATTTTTTTTTGGTCCCACAACAAAGATTATTAATGGAACATTTTGGCAGCTTTCCAATCAAAAAAATAATAACAAAATAATGTCAGGTATGCAGGGATGTAGTTACGTTTATCATAAATGTTTTGGTTTGGTGGTCTTAAAGATGACAACCCCCAACAAGGGTTACGATAGTTTAAGTTTTGTACCCTAAGACGCACCAATATACAAATTAAATTAGCTCCACCAAGAGCACACCCATTATCTTTCAGAAGGTTGTAACCTTGAGTGGTCCATGATAAAGTACCACATTTGAAAAAATTGCGCATATGAAAATATTTCTATTTGTATATGCGCAATATAAGTTTTATATTTGTTATTACTTACTACACACCAATTGCCTAAACTTCAGAAGTTGTAATTTGATGTCATTAACAAAAGTCAGCCTTGTTCTTGACTTGTAAATAGTGATTTGAGCAATCAAAAAAGGTCAAACAGCTCAACTAGCTTTAAACAGAATTTGCTGCCAATATTTCCAGGGGCAAATGAATACTTTCAATCTCACTCAAGCGTGTAGGATTCTGTGGCATTGTGTGGTTCCAGAAAATATTAATAATAATAATAATAATAATGCAAATATTTATACAGGATAACCTATCAGTTCTAATGAAAAGAACTGTTATCAAAAGCGTCCTGTAATTATCTCATAAATAGATAAAAAAATAAAGAAGAAAATTGAAAAAGGAAAATGAATAAAATAACACTAAGAAATCTAAGATTCAAAAATCAAAATCTGTAAAAATTATTGACTTATAAGACTGAAAAGAGTTGTGAATTATGGAATACTATTGAAAAAACTCTTTTAAATTACTCTTAAAAAGAAACCTCGAATTTAAATTNGGATGTGGTGTTATGGTAGTTGGATATAAAGGAGTAGAAGAAGGTCGTGGGGGGGGTGGAGCGTGTTGGGAGGCGGGGGGTGGGGGGGGGGGGTGGGGGGGGGGGGGGGGTCAGGGGCCCAGGAAATTCCAAGGGGACGGGGGTTGGATGATAAAACTCGCTTTCCAAGGGGAGAATTTCGAACTCAGTACGAGAAATTGCTACATACTGATCTGGTATATCATTTTTGAAGACTTTTTTTTTTTTCATCTAAACCAGGTCTTCTTTCTTCCAGCCCATATTAGGCTGACAAAAAGTGCACAATATTGAGCGCCATTACTTGTTAGCACTCTCCATAGTCTCATTGTTCCTTTACAAAAAGCACTGGTGACTAGATACTTTTCTTCGATCTCTGCGTAATACTCTGCATCGCATCAGTCGATCGAACTGTACAACAGTGAAAGTTTCACTTCAAGAAACAGAAGGTATACAATGTAAAGATTTCAGAATCTAGAGTTTAATAATCTTCTTTCCGTCTTCCCTTAATTTTGTGGCTGAAAGTTTGACGTGTTGGAGAGAATATTCACGCTGAAATGGTGTTAATTCCATCAACATCACGGCCATGGAGACGGCTACAATATTTTGTAGTTTAGGTTGCTTTTTAGGTAGTTTACTATGTTCTTATTCAAGACCGCTCAATAAAATTAAATGATAACCATTGTGTAACTGCAAATGGGCATTGTTGTTTACTTTGATAATCTTTTTTCATGAAAATAAACTTTTCCAGATGGGTTGGAGAGTCTTTGTCTTACTTTGTGGAAATTCTGGAGGGGTGTGGGGGGAGGGGGGGGGGTATCAGTTCCTTACATTTATGGAAAATCCAGGGAGGTGGAGTGAAATCCCCTAAGTGGTGGGGTATGGATATTTTCTGGAACCACACATTGTAATGAGCTGTCTCCCTGTCATGTGAGTGACCCTGGTATCTATAACGTATTCCTGGCTTTGTGATGTTTTCCCCCTTTTTTGTGGCTTTTTTTCCCTTTTTTTCCTACTGCTGACCTATAATTATACATCTCTGAGACAGAATTATGCTGGATACGCCATTCTAGATCAAGAGACCCAAAGTACCAGCCCAGTGAGTTGGAATAGTTTGAGTACTGTAAATCCTCTATTAAGCCCCGCTGCCCCACCCTCTCAAATAAGCCTCCTCTCTCTACTAAGCCCCTCCTTTCCAGAGGAAGAAAGGTAATAAACCCACCCTCTCTTTTAAGCCCCCCCTCCCCTCCCCCTTATTATTCTTCACTGATAAATGATACTGTCACTGTATCAATCAATCCAGGGCTCAAAATTAATTTTTCAGATAACTAGATTTTACTAACAAAGATTTTACTAACCAACTTATAAAGTTTATTATCCAAGAATCTTTTCTTGAAATAAAAATATTTTAACTAATATAAAGTAGTGCTAATAAATGGGGCAAACTAATGTATGGATGGATTGGTTTAAGTTACATCGAAAAAACATCAAAATTTATGGTGCCGCAAAAGTCAAAACTTCAAGAAAGACAAATTAACCTAGCTGTCAACAAACTTTAATTTCATGCCTTCACCCACAGCAAGAAAGCCAAAACTTTGTCAAATGAAAGAATGCTAATCAGAAAATCATGATATCTTTCATTATTCAACGTATTTTTTTTCTTGACGAAATATTTTATCATTTTGGCAAAAGTCGCGGACCAACGGCATCGCGGACTTTCACGGACCAAGGACCACATACTGTATAAAATATTTAACGCTCATTTACAATTGTTCTTTTAATTACGTTACGTGAGGGTGGGAAATTCACCATAAACATTGCAAAACTTTGTTTAGCCTCATCAAACTGCAGCCAGGTGAGCACCTTTTTCGATTCTTGGTGGAAAGTTTTTTCTTTCTTCTTATGGATAACTGAAACAATCATCTTTGCTAAATTACTAATTAATGTTTATTCAATTTAACGTCGTCTTCGAATACAAGTCGCCCTTGAATAAACACCGCACCTAATTAAAAGAATGCAGCGTCTATTTAACGATAATGAGAAAAAAATTGGTACAACTTGACAATCTACACCATCCAGACAATTACGAACCTTTAAAGTACATAACATTATTTGAAAATCAAAGAAAGACTATCGTCAACTCGTGGGTACGTTGTTTACAAAATAATCAAATAGTTATAAACTCTGGTTTTCCCACAGTAAATTGTGGGAAATGATAGAAATTCAGATTATAAATATGCTATCCTTGTTCTGGAAACATAATACTTTTCTTGCTGTTTATTACACTTTATCAACACTTGTTTAGGTATATATTAAAAAAGAAACAGCAAAATAAATAAGCAAACAAAACAAAACAAAAAAGAAAAAAAAGGGAGAGGGAAGTAGAAAGTCTGTAGCAGGATACGAGCTCGGTTCCTCCAGGTTAACAGGACTTCACATTAACAACTACACCATCGAGGAAGGTTACATCATCCATCGAAAAGTCTCAAATTTAATGCCTTCTCCATGCATGACTTCCGCCGGTAAACGATCGAGCCATATTTAACCGATTGAAAAAACGACTCGAAGTAATCGGATGAAATACAGGCTAATTGAAACCGGGTTTTTGACAGTCAAAAACAATGTAAATGCATTTCATGGCAATGAAAGAATATATACGATACAAAGCAGATACAACTCCTCTGCGAAGTAGGACGCAAAACATAAGCCTATGTTTTGTTATCCCGATTTCCGCTGTTATTTTAAATCACATCCATTTTCTCCTGTGATCTTGGGCAGTCCTTGAGAAGAAGAAGAAGAAGAAGAAGAAGAAGAAGAAGAAGAAGAAGAAGAAGAAGAAGAAGAAGAAGAAGAAGAAGAAGAAGAAGAAGAAGTGCCTTTATTTACCATACATTTATTCATACACATAACCTATTATTATGACAAGGCAGGAGATCAAGCAAGCGTCGAAGTTGAAGAAGTCGAAGAGCAAATGCTCATTCTCTCGTCAAGTTAAACACCTGGACGAGTCAAAGGCTCTTGAATCGTACTAACCTGAAAGATTCCTGCGTGTCTTAAATTTGGTAAGACCTCTATCCTCTAACCGTGCTGTAGCGCACGATGCACGCTCTCAGCAAGGAATTTGATCCTACCGAACTTTGGCGAGCGCGTGCTTCGTTGGAAACGATAGATCTTTGCGCTCTCGAGTTCGGACCCGATTAATTACGAAGTGCGTCTACTACGAGTGAGCGAGTGACTCATTTGCATATCCATGTCCCTGCAATAACTCGTGGTACGCTCCCACGTACCCACGAGTTAAAAATGATTTACAGAAACTGTTGTCAATGATTTAAGAAAAGTGATTTCAAAACAAACGCTGCCCTCGGATAAATGCCACCCTTACATAAACGCTGCATCGGAAACGCTGAAAATTAATAAACACCGGGGCGTTTAATAAATAAATAAATACAGTAAATAAGCCCCCTATCTCTAACAAGCCCCCCACCCCCTCCCAAATGTGTTTGAAATAAATAAACCCCCAGGAGGGCTTAATAGCGGATTTACGGTATGTACAGTGTAGTCTGCCAAAGTGTACAGTACAACATTTGGCTATACAGCTTGATATAAGCACATGCATGCATTAGTATTACATGTATGCAGTTTAAATGCAAGTTTAATTATTTGCATACAGGTACACCCACATTGTGTTTTACATTAGTTTGTTTGCTCGTTTTTCATCTCATAAGCATCATAATAAATCAGAGTACCCAAAATCAAAAGAATTTAAAATCAAAACAAGTTTAAAAATAACTGCAAAACAGCTATGCATATTACCTCCATTGGTCACTACAAAGAGATCTGTCTCCTTGTCGCCGTTGAAATCACCAAAGGCCGCCACGTACCCTTTTACCACTGAAATCCCAACACTTTCAGTTACATCACTAAACGCTGAAGATACTGGACTCCAAAAGAAAACAAAAAAGGCAAAACAGAACGGAATTTGCATCGCATCGTATTTATGGTGTGTTGAACAGTTCAACTTCTTCCACTAAAAGCGCCCGCGCGAAAACAGTAAGCGGTTTGCACGAAAAAATTACTTCGTCGTATATAGTACACGAAATGTCTTGTAACTAAGATACATTGCGGGCGATGATATGTAAATTTGATAACTAATTCATAAAAATTTATATTTTGATTTGTGAGGAAAACGGAGGCCGGCAGGCTTCTTTTCAGAACTCTACTTGGTCGTGTTTTTCGTCCGTAAACCATCTTCTGATTTCTTATGGAAGAAAGTAGTCTGAGATATTTTGACCAACTTATAGTGACCAAAACAGGGCACGCTTCTTTGTGTCTTTAACGGGATCGGAAGTAAGGTTACAACCCACCTTTCATCGTAACATTATCATTGATTATTCTTACACCTTTGTTTACTTTTCTTTTGTTAACTTTGTTTCTATGTCGCGTTTTTGTTCTCCAGGTATTAAATTCTAATATGGAAGAAGACGAAATAGGGGAAGAAGAACCGATATACGACGTGATCAACGACTCGAACGAAAAAAAATTGAAGACGACTGTAACAGGTGCAGCTGCGAGAAGAGGAACTTTTAATCGCGCTCGAGCCTGGTCGACAGAATCTACGGGAGACAGAAGCAAACTCCTCATCAGACTTCGAGAAAAATTTAATCTCAAGCCTTCTGAAGAGTTACCGCGCAATGAATCGTTGTCTCCTACGACGAGCGCAGGTTTTGCTAACTCGAAAACAGTGGCGGACAAAAGACGGGCACTACGAGCTGTGAACCCCAAAACGAGGAGATCACCTTCGTGGTATGAAGCAAGTGTCAGCGAGGTGGAATCGAAGCGTTCTCGTTCGAAATCTTTGTCTTCTGGGTTTTTTAGAAGACTTAGGGACAGTAAAAGAGAGGATATTTTACCAGATAGTGACAGGTGTAAACAAGAAAGCAGCTGTTGGTTTCCAGAGGAACTTGGAGATCCCCACGGGGGATTACAAAACGGCGCATTACTACCCGGTCAAGAGACAAGTGATCCGCACCCCATGCCCACCCGTCAACGGCCCACAGGAAGCGAAAAACTAAAGAAGCGTGCTCAGTCTATAAGTTTTCCTCTTGATCGAGACTCGCTCAGTGGGAAAGAAGTAAATTTTCAGGAAAAGACAGCTCAACAGTGCCGTAATGAGCTGCCGTCACTCTCAGAAGACTTGGAGAGACTGTCACATCTCAGCTGGTACTGGGGTCCTCTGAGCCGATATGAGGCCGAGAAAATACTTGAAGGGAAGTCTAATGGTACCTTCCTTGTTCGTGATAGCTTTCACGAGTTCCACTTGTTCAGTGTAACCTTCAGATCTAAAGGAAGGACCTTACACACAAGAATTGCATACGATAAGGGGTGGTTTGGCTTTATGGGCCCAGGTGGTGTGGAGACAAAAACAAATTCTGTTGTTGATCTTATGGAAAAAACCATGAAAATCTCCCAAAGGAGAAACTTGACCCATACAACAGGAGGACTTATTGGTCCCTCTTATCCAATTCGGTTCTTGTTTCCCTTTTCAAGATTTGAGGAGGTTCCATCTCTTCAGCACCTGTGCAGGTTTGTGATTCGGCAGAATTCCAGGTGTGACAAACTGCACGAGCTGCCAATTCCTGCAAAGCTCATACGGTATTTACGGGTAGAGAACCATTATCTCCCAGAGGGGGAGACAGAGAACTAAATTTGTCCAATGAGTTCTCCAGGGAAGGGGGAGGGTTCTACCTATAGTTGTATGATGGCCAATACAGGGAGGCTCCACCCAAAAGGGGTTAGGGATTTCACTTGTTGAAGTATCTGAAAGGCAGGGGCGGATCTAGGGGGAGGGTGCAGGGGGTGTGCACCCCCCCCTCAGATGACCTGCAGTTTTCTAATACAACTGGTATTCTGCAAAAAAAAAACTATGTGGTTTATTGGTGTTGAAGTAGAGCAAGAGATGAGTGCACCCCTCCTAAAAAAAATCCTGGATCCGCCCCTGTGAAAGGGAAGAGAAATATTTCATTTCCGTTGGTAAAAAGGCCCAAAAGGGCTAACAGATACATTTCAAGACTGTGATATAGTAGAGAAAACGTTCTAGTTTATTATTTCATCTATGGTCGACTCCTGATAATTAGAACCCTTAAGGGAAACAAAAAAGTTCAAGTTATTGAAATTTCGAGTTATCAAGGGTAAAATTATATAGAAAGTGTTCTGAAGGGAAATGAAAATTGCTTTGAGTTAGCAGGAGGTTTGAGTTACTGGGAGTCAACTGTAATAATAATTTAGTAATAATTATAATGATGATTATGATGGTCTTTTTTTACTTCAAAATGTTAATGAAGTACCAACTGTTATTTTAATGTGACATCATCATTCAATCTATCGAAGTCTGCAATGGATGTGGTAACATATATATATACCCAGCCCTTCAATTAATTAGTATTAATAGTAATATTATATGTTATAGTAAAATGCAGAAATCAAGATTGATATTATTTCAATGTAGTGTTAGTCTAAGAACAATATGATATTTTATTTTATTACATAAACACCAATGAAATACCAGGATGATGATAAACATGATATCTTCACACAAGAAAAGATCACAATATTGCTATGGCTACTTAATAAATCATGCCTTTTAAAACAAAAAAAAATTAAAGAGAAATGGTTTGGTATTTCATTGGTTTTTATGTAGAACATTACATGACCGCTTGGAGACAAAGAGATAATTGAGTGCAGCAAACGAGTAAAATATTTTTCAACATGAGAAGAGAAATTTGGTATCTCAGTGTGGCCATGCAATATCCTCTATTTATTTACACAGCTACGAAAAACAGAGCTGTTATAAGACATACATAGTTGACATTATTGAAATGCAGATTAAATAAGGAGAAACAATAATTATTATTTATTATTACGGAATTTGAAATTAAATTAATGATTAGATATGAAGGTTCTACTACGCTGGTAACATTTATAATAAAAAAGGTGACTATTTAGCTCAATAATAGAGAGTTTAATATCTACTTAAAAGAAAAAATGTAGTATTTATTGTTACAGCTTGCAATAAACTATACAATTCTGAGGAAAGTCATCATTTCAGTGCAAAACTATGTGTTATTTAAAGCCGGTATATAGAAAACAACACACACTAGGGACACCAGAAAACAAGGGAAAATCTTTTTTCTCTTACACATACATTGCATGATACACAGGCTTCTATTTATAATAACAATACTATCATGGGATAACATGTTTATATCTAACATTTAAATTAAAGTTTTAAATGTAGTACACTGATTATAAGGATAATTGTGAAATATATAATTGTAACTTTAATAATTAATGGTGATGTATAGAAAGGAGTTAATATTTTTAATAGTCCCATACATAAAATTAAGCTTAAATGTTCTGATAGAGAAGGTTAATATTGAAATAAATTAAAAACCAGATATAAACATGCGTGTGCTTATTATCCTTTTTTGAATCCTAACTCCTTATCCTTGATTGATATCACATTGATGTAAGAAGTGTGTCAAGTCCCCCATGAAAATGCACTGGCCAATAATTAATAGAAGTGGCATTTATAGTTTATTTTAATCTCTTTTCTGCCTCAAT